TTCATTACTATTAAGGAAATACTCATGACAATATCAGAGAGAGAGACAGCAACAATAGACAGACAGACAAAGACATAGAGAGGCAGAGAGAGAACCATAATACAACAGAGAATCATTTGTCACTAAACAACGCAACTTTCTCTAAAAAAAAAGAGAGATTCTAAACAATCTCGACCGAGTGTACAAACATTAAACAATACTTTTGGAAACCTCCTGGCTGCTAACCGACGAACGCCAATTGTCTTCAGCCACAGCCATAACATTCTCAAGTTCTATTCACAACCTAAAGGAGGCATATTGTTACTTAAACATTATCACTGAATAAATTATAAACACCCAGATCAAATAAATCAGTCGCAGCAATTTGAGCAGGGATGGATTTACGCAAAAAGCAGAATAATCTAAAGCGTGGGATCTCACACACCAATCAAGGGGGCACTTATTCATTTTGTATTGTATTTCTGCAATTCGTCTGCGTTTACTCTTATCTAAAGGATTAATGCCTTCAAATAATATTTTGTATTGTAATCATGGGAATAATGCATTTGCGTTTGTTCCTATCTATAGCCTTTATGATTTCAAATTCCTTAATACTTTTAATCTTAACTTCAGGAAAGGCCCCCAAGTTTCTCACAGTTTAGGGCCTCGTCAAGTTCTGATAATAAACCATGATTCTTTTTTTTTTATTCTGAACACATTATCATCCTTACTAACCAGAAATGGATCTTAATACATTTACCGAACCCATACAGTTCTCACATTCAGACTGAATTACTAGTGACAGTAACACTACTGCGACTTTTCCTTAATTATCTTAAATTTTTTATCCCAAGCGCTAAATGTCATCAAATTTCGAGTACATAAAGTTGAATGGTCCAGGACGAAATTACTATTTCCTGTTCAATTAGTCTGCAGTAATAATCTATAAGTAATAAGTTGAATGTCAATAAAAGAACTATAACGTATACTTCACTCTATATTAGAAAAAAAACTAGCCTTTCAGCGACATATCAAGATATGAATTGAAATTGATTAATGATAAGGCTCTGTGCATCGTCACCTGAAATTGTGCTTCTGGAAATTTCATCTGACGCAGATCCTATTTCTTAATTCACTCTACTAATCAACAGGATCAAACACTCCATTATCTATCACTACTATCTATTATTTACTAAGAGCTCTAGACTTGGTCATTATGAGTTATAGTCATCATCATCATTTTCATTACTCACTGAGATCGATAGCAATGTTCAGTATTCATTACTATTATAAATCATTAAATTGGAAAAACAGAGAGAGGGGGTAGAGTCAGAAAGAGAATGAAAGAGAGAGAGAGAGAGAGAGAGAGAGAGAGAGGGAGAGAGAGAGAGAGAGAGACAGTGCGTGTGTGTGTGTATGTATGTATGCTCGTGTGTATCCATGCGTCATCCCAGTACGTATACAGATACACACACACGAGAATTCTTACATAGTGACATACAATTACATCCCAGCAATAAATGTCATTTGTGTTCGCCTCTGATTAATAAGACTTTCATCCTGACAAATATCATGCTTTGAAACAGAGGCGCCATTGTCAGAATTGATATATTCCGTGGCTTATACTATCAGGGTCTTGTGTTTTTAATAACAAAAGGGTATGTGCATTATTCTCATTTGTTCATCTGTCCCTTTCTCTATGTATCTGTCTAGCTATCTATCTATCGTGTGTGTGTGTGCGTGTGTGCACATATATTTAGTATAGATACACACCCATACACATATGTGTATATATATATGCATGTAATATATGTGCAAATATATATGAATATATAACTGTGCACACACACGCACACACACACACACACACACACACACACACACACACACACAC